TTTCTTTACTCTTTAATTTAATTTAATTATTAATATATAATATGAAAAAAATTCATATAATATTTATCATAATTCAAAATACGATAATTAATTTTAAACTTGAGATTAAAATCAAAGCCTAAAATCAAGAAAATATATTTTTTTAAATGTTTTTAGCAATAGAATAGTTACCTATTGTAGACAATAATATTATTTTGATTATTTTTTTTGGCAGTTCTCTGTATTGTTGGGACATTGTTGAGGCATTGTTGTTGAGGGAACCTACAGCGAATTACAGCGATAATTACCCTTTTATATATGCCTACAAGACAATTATCGCTTGATTACAGCGATAATTGTCTACTAGGAATCGATAATTCCATTGTATCTACGTATCCATGGCAATTAATAAAAATAACGTCAGTTTTTATTTTAATGTGACAGTTATTTTAAATGTCACGTTTTGGTAAAGAATCATTTGAATCAATTATTGAATAATGTTATAAAGTTTTGTGTTGAAATTAAAATGAAAATGTTATTTTTTGATTTAATTAGTTTATTCGTGTAATTATCTAAACAAATTACACTCGTGCATAAAAATAATCAGATAATTTTGCATTCAAGCATATTGCCTTTTAAAAAATGCATTCGGTCATTTTCATATTTTGAGGAAAGGGCCCTCCACCTTCGGTGTCGGGCTCTTTCCAAAATATGAAAATGAACTCATGCATTTTTTAGGCAATATGCTTTCAAGCAAAATTATCGATAATTTTTAAGCACTTGTGTAATTACCCCCGATAATTACCCTCTTATATATGCCTACAAGACAATTATCGCTTGATTACAGCGATAATTGTCTACTAGGAATCGATAATTCCATTGTATCTACGTATCCATGGCAATTAATAAAAATAACGTCAGTTTTTATTTTAATGTGACAGTTATTTTAAATGTCACGTTTTGGTAAAGTATCATTTGAATCAATTATTGAATAATGTTAAATGAAGTTTTGTGTTGAAATTAAAATTGTCTACTAGGAATCGATAATTCCATTGTATCTACTTATCGATAGCAATTAATAAAAATAACGTCAGTTTTTATTTTAATGTGACAGTTATTTAAAATGTCACGTTTTGGTAAAGAATCATTTGATTCAATTAATGAAAATGTGAAAAATAGTGTTAAAATATTTGAAAATGTTATTTTTTGATTTAATTATAATTAAATAATAATAATAAACTATAGTTTATTCGTGTAATTATCTAAAAAAATTACACTCGTGCATAAAAATCAGATAATTTTGCATTCAAGCATATTGCTTTTTAAAAAATGCATTTGGTCATTTTCATATTTTAAGGAAAGAGCCCGACACCGAAGGTGAAAATGAACTCATGCATTTTTTAGGCAATAAGCTTATCGATAATTTTTAAGCACTTGTGTAATTACCCCCGATAATTCGATAATTTTTTCATGTTGATTTTCATTGTTTCGTCGCAAAGTTTATTAATTAACATATTATGTCAAAATATTGATTTTATGTTTAAGCGAATATCGTGAATTTCATTCCAAAATGAGTCGCTTTGGGGCTATACAGTTACAAGATATAATTAATACCACGAAAAGCCAAGCATCCATATGGAGATAATTTGAAGAGTTTTGTAAATTAAAAAATTACCAAATTCTGGAAAATACGTCTGAAGGTGAATTGGCTAAAATATTACTGGATTGGGCATTTAATATGAAAAAAATAAACGGTACAGACTATAAAGAAGGAGGAATTAAGACAATATGGAATGTTACCGCAAAATTGCTACAGGAAAAATTGTACAAAGAGTTTCATAGAGCCATAAATCCTTTTGAAGATATAGCTTTTAAAATAATCTTATGAATACCATTCGAGCTTTAAATTAAAATCGGTTAATTACCTCTTTATTCCTGCATAGTGACGTCGAATCGTGTCAATTTAACATTGTTGTCAAATTGACACTCTTCTCCCGTCACTATGCAACAACAAATCGGAAATTAACTAATTTAAAGCTCTTGTGGTATTATAGCCAATAAACATTTAAATCGTACAATACCTCATACAACTACGTTTTGTTGAGGGAGATAGGCCTTAACTTTTAAGTATTACAATAATTATTATATGAGGTCTTTATAAAAAAACATCTTTAACTCAACAATTTTCCAAAACCACAACATATCTAAAAAGATTGGTTCAAAATGCATGGTTTTCCAAACCAAACAAAGGTATGTAAAAAATAAAATTAGATAGAAAGCTATGATCTCTGAGCTACGCGTCGGCCTTTAAACTTTGAGCTCAGCACAAAAAGATCTTAGCGTTTTATCACAAATAACTATTACTTAAAATATTTTGTGTTATTAATAAACTTGTCATTTCTTAATATTGAGTACCTATGCCAAAAGCGTGGGGCGATTTATCTAAATTAATTTAAAGTACATGCTTCTCAAAGAATGCTTTGTCACTTCTTAATCTTTTAAACAAACTATTAAAACGTACCTGCTAAAAATGCTTTTTGTTGTATACAGGAGTTTTTAAACAGTGATTTGCGTAATGCTTTTATTTAATGATTCCTTTTTTGATTGTATCGTTTTGTAACATTACGGAATACAATTTTTAATGTGTAATATTTTTACTAATATATCTTAAATTTTATTGTTATTTTGGTGTTTTATATGAATCTATTTTGTATTTTTCTGACATGTGCAAAAGTTTGTAAACATTTAATGCATGAATAAACTATCTATCTAAGGTTCAAAGACTGTCAAAAACGATCGAGGAATCTTCTGTCATGACCACTAGTCGCACACAATATTTAATTCAACCACAGTGTTTCAATTCTCGAAAATATCGGCAAACCCTCTAAATTTGACATTTTTTTTCAGGTAAATTTTGAGTTAGATGTGTAGTTAATACCTGTCTCCATCCTGTATTGAAAAAAAATTATATAAAATATGTATACTTTGTCTTGTAAATCAGTTTAAACTTGACGCTGTCAGTTGAAGGTACTTTACACGCTATCGCTGCGGAAAATTGTTTATTGTTTAAAAGGGAATAACTTGTGTTTGGAGTGTCCGATTGTTATGCGGTTTGATGAAGGGTGATCTTCAAGGTATGTAAAATTCAGATATGTATTTGTTTTTCATAGATTTTGCTTGTACAACGGGTTATTGTAACCGACAAGATCGGTCTGTTAAAATCGCAAACTTTGAATCGAGCTTTTAGAACAATGGAGCTACAAAAATTGTAATGAATTGATGAAGGGTGATCTTCAAGGTATGTAAAATTCAGATATGTATTTGTTTTTCATAGATTTTGCTTGTACAATGGGTTATTGTAACCGACAAGATCGGTCTGTTAAAATCGAAAACTTTGAATCGAGCTTTTAGAACAATGGAGCTACAAAAATTGTAATGAATTGTAAGGCATCAGTTCAAGATACGTTGAGTAGCTTAGAGTTTTGTCTATCAAGCCATCAATAAATGTTCTTGGGCGCTTGGGCGCTCAGGCGCGGTTGTGGTAAAAAAACTCGCGATTTAAGCCTTTGTCGCGCGCGTATCTGTGTTTTTACTATACAAAATATAAGATGTTTTTTTATTTCTGGGTTGCGTTTATGACGTTTACTCGATTCACTCGTATTTAACTCAAAACGTTTATTACAAACAACAGCACGCTGCAGCGGTGTCTAGACTCACTTGTCTAAATCGTTCGTGACTACTAAGATATTTAACACCGATTTAACATATTTAACCCACCTCTTGTAGGTGCCTTAAAACAACTCCGCATGCGCATTGTATTGCGTTAATGTCAACTTTGAATTGTGATTATTTGTGTTGACAATTTTTTTTAGCGAATCCAGTGACGGAGATTGTTTAATATATATGTAGGTATTAAATAATATATAAATAACAATAAACTAAATTAAGCTATTTTATAAAAAAATGTTTTATTTACATTTTAAAAAGAACCTCTTACGGGTTTTAATTAATTTCGACAATTTTTTGATAAAAATGTCCGCCATTTTGAATTTTGGAATTCTGATTCCAGATTCATTATCAGCGACCACAAAAACCCCTGTATGGTGATTTTCAATTTATTCCGTCAATTTTTTGACATATATGTCCGCCATTTTAGATCTAACATTTTGAATTTTGGAATTCTGATTCCAGATTCGTTATCAGCGACCCCAAAAACCTCTATATACGGATTTTTGGGAGAATCCGACTACTCCTTGATATTTTGCCGAAAATTTCGAGAATTAAAACACTGTGCACCGCAAGGAATTTAAAGTCAATTTTATTTGATATATTATCTGACATCTGTCAGCTGTCATGTAACTTTAACCTCACTTTTTCCAATTTTAACTCAAAGCTAAATTCATCCCGTGGGCGAAATGCTATTTTGCCCACCAGTTTAAGTTAATGAATGAAATGAGTGTTGAATTATTATATTATGTATCAAGTTTTATAAACTCCATTTTAGTTTTAATAGGCACGAGCGAAGCTTGAGAGCGAGTGTTTCCAGAGAAGTTGCATATATGTATGTATAGTATCTACGACGAACACAAAAAAAGAATTTAAATCCAATTTTATTTGTTAAATATTTGACATCAGTCAACTTTAAACGAATTTAACCTCACTTTTTCCTAATTCATAATTAAGATAACTTCAGCCCGTGACTAAATGGCCATAAAGTCACAGCTTGTTAATGTAGGCAGTAGTATTATTTTATACTTTTAAGTGCATTAAGGCGTGTTTTAAGTATTTATTATTCCTTAAATTGGTTTTTATAAAATGTAAATAATTGAGTCTGCAATCTCGGTAAAAATAAGAAAGTCGGTTCAAGGTAAAAGGAAGCAAGAATTTATTCACATCTACCCCCTTTTTTAAAAACGCGAATACGAGATTACAGAAACCGCTGAAACTGCACTGACATAAGCAGCCAGTGAATAGCAGGCAGGCGTTAGTATTGGGAGCGAAACTTTCTTGATAACATCTATCTCAGGTGTGTGTGTAGATATATCCGCAAAAGAGAGTTCCAACCAGATCAGTCAGAGAATCTCTCTCGAGGTCGTGCGAGCAGCCAGTCGTTCCGTTAAATCCTCCGACTTCGAGCTGCGAAATCGGCTTCTTCAGGCAAGTGCTTGCTGTCGAACAGTGTCAGTGTCTTCCAAGTCGGGCGCTCACACACATTACAGCCTAAGTGCCAGTTTTCGGTTTCAAATCAAACTCCAATGCATCACCTTGTGTTAATCGGATGATGCACCTCCAGACGATAGTGCCACTCTTTTCGGGAATCGCCCTCTTATCGCCTGTCTGTGCTTACTAAAAGGTTTTAAATGTTATGTGTAGTAATTTTGTTGTGGTTAGCTGATTAAACTAACACTTGATTGCATTACCTGTTTGAAGAGGATATGTATCTAACCACTACCCTTGGATGAACTGGTAAGTTGGTAAAAGTAAAAGGGAACTTATTATCAGATGCTGCAGTTGCATAAAGGCGATATTGAATTAAATAATAATTGCGATTTAATAGTGATTAGAAAACATAACTGGCTTACGTTAAAGCTTTTAATTGAAACTTGATATCTATCCGGCTACTTTGTTATTCATTACATTATCTATTAATTGAATTTTTAAACTAAAATATTAAACACAACTAATTAAATAACTACCTTGTTGGTCGCTTTATTTTCTCCACCTTATACAATTCAAATTATGGTAGTCGATATTCATTAATATTTATGAAAATTATGATTTATCGGTGGATATTCAATAAATGTGTTATTAAAGTGACCAAAAGGCTGTTAACGCAGTCGATTAAAAATAATTAGAAAATTATTAAAACTGTAAAATTTAATGAATTGTAAAATAAATAGTAAAAGACGGTTAAATTACGATTGCTGGATATACAGAGCGTTCAAGACTACCAATGTTAACATGTGCACATGCATGTGCATGCAAAAGCTGAATTACTCAAATTATAAAGTTTATTAAATAAAACAAATAGTTATTTTAATATCCATGCCCTTCGAGCCATGCCATTTATTGATTTATTGGTAAAAAAATATTAAGATGACAAACTTTACTTCCATAGCAGCAATACCTATATGTATTTTTAAGAGTTTCTATATGGTTAAAAATGGAACATTATAAGTTTACAAAATAGTTATTTATGTTATTAGGACGTTTTTTGTGAGAAACTTAAAAAGACCTTCTTGGCAACATTTTAAAATTTTATTTATTAACATAAGATTTATTATTGCCCAAACGCGGTAAATAATTAATCACTATCCTCATAAAAAAGTTTTATTGGTCCAAATGGTTTATGTACCTAGTTTAAAATTAATCACTTTAGTGTCCAGTGTTGACAACAATACAATTTAATGTATAGACCCATTGAAGATAAATACAGTTTTTCAATGAGAATTTTTTTTTTCATTCATTCAAGTTTTAAAAAATCGCTAAAGATGTTTAAAACAAAATCAAAATCGGCAAGTATAGCAGATAGTGTTATTTTTGTTTAAGTTTTTATTTTTAAAGTATTTTTTATTTATTTTTTAAAGTGATGGTGAATTCATGGTTTATATTGTGTAAGAAAACTGTCAAAAATTATGATGATATATTTTATTTCATTTAATTCCCTAAGAACCGCTATTAACCGCTACTTAAAATGACTTCCACACACCCAAATAGCCCTATAGGGCAAGACAACTTCAAAAATATTGTTTAATTCCGCTAAAATTTTAAAAACACATTTAAAACCATATTACTTTATGTAATGTAAAATGTTTTTTTATAAATTGCTTGACCTTTGCTATATTGTACCTATAACATATTTTCTAACTATTTTTGAATTTTTATTATTTCTGCCCCGGATTTATATTATAATAGGCTAACTATAAAATTTAAATTTTGGAAGGCAGAATTTTTTTCCGTGGCCCTTGTTAGGGGAAAATAGTATATTACACTACAAGTGGTGTATACTATTTTTCTTGCTACCCCGCAGAAAATACGGGAAAAAATTAAATGTATATAAAAAAACTTGTGTCAAAATTAAAATCTGACGTTTAATTTAATTCTGACGTTTACATTCAAAATCAATCAAACTGTAGCGTTGTCATGGTAATTCAGATGTGCCAATACAGTAAAAATAAAAGGTTGTATTTTAATTAACAAATTACTACTTTATAACAAATAAAAGTACCATTAAACAATTAAAACAACATAAAAAGTAAAAAAGTAAAAAAGTAAAAAAGTAAAAACATAAATTGTTTATTTGTTGTTATAATTGCAAAATTATGGTTTAAAACTGTCATATTTTTGTGTTTCTCATGTTGGCAGTACGAAATTTGAATGTTAAGCACACGACTAAAAAATTTTTACTCCCGCTATTAGAGTGTGCGCGTATAGCTTGACCAATGCAAGAAACGTAAACTTTCTGCCGTGAAATCGGGGACGAAACAACGTATTTTGAGTCGAGGTAGTAAGAAAAAGTATTAACTTCACAGGATTTTCAATCTATTTATCTCCTATTATAGATTGAAAATCCTGTGAAGTTAATACTTTTTCTTACTACCTCGACTCAAAATACGTTGTTTCGTCCCCGATTTCACGGCAGAAAGTTTACGTTTCTTGCATTGGTCAAGCTATACGCGCACACTCTAATAGCGGGAGTAAAAATTTTTTAGTCGTGTGCTTAACTATAATAGTTTTTCTATTTTTTTTTGTAAATATATTATGAGTTATTTTTTACTAAATAACTTTCCTTTTGCATAGGTATTTATAGTTTAATAAAAAATATATAGCATACCTACACTGAGAGAAAAATTAAAGAAATAAAATTAATTGACTCCAAATTTAATTATTTGAACAACATCGAATTTGAATCGAAATAATAGTATATTATGTTTTAAGTTTGGTAAACGCTATTTTAGTCACGAATTTTAATACCGAGCGAGCTTGCGAGTTTATAAACGAATTGCATACTGTACCTTTTCTATGACAAATACCTACTTATTATTATCTAAAAATGATTTAAATTAAATTGTTTGTGTAGAGAGACATATATAAAACAATATAGTAACCATTCTGATGTGGGGATTTCAAATTTTTACGTGTAAATGAAAATTTATCCCTTGAAAATGAACTAAATCCGGTAGAAGCAGAGGCAGTTTTTTTACATTGAAAGTAAATATAATGTTTTATAGGCAATATAGGGAATATTTACCCAAAATCAGTTAAATTTAGTTTACTGCCGGCGAAATCAAAAGGTCAGTACAACTGAATATAAACTTTTCAAATATTGGCGTTGAGAAACTATTTAATACTTTTGTTTTTTTATATTACAATAATAAAATAATTTTTACATTTAGTATTATTTTACAAGGAGAGCATTTTATTTTAACAATGTATGGCATTTGACAATTGGCCAGTAACTGAAAACCAACTTCAGCCCGTGACTAAAAACCTGTTGCTAACTTCATCCCGTGACTAAAAACCTGTTTCTAACTTTATTCCGTGACTAAAACGCCAAAAATCCACAGTGTCATAGAAACATATATGATTATGGGCGTTTTAAAGGTGGGAAATATACTCTATAGAAAAAAAATATTTAAATTTAAACTGAATTTTATAATAAAATTTTTTATTAAGTTAAACTGGTTGTTTAAATTATTAAATTTAAAATCAATTAAATAAATTTTTTGAAATTACCACTTTTTAACATTTTTTCTTAATGCGGCAAACTTATAAATTCGCCTCTGGTTCCTGTAAGCCAATTTAGATTAATTCCTTACTACAATGACTACCATAACGCTATTTTGTATTAAAAAAAAGTTAAAAAATGTAAACAAAATTATTTTATTATTATAAATACCAAATTTATATTTTGTATTTTAAAAATCTTATCTTTCCCCCCTATATATTTTATAAATAATTAACTTTGTAGAGTTAATTGCACACACAATTAGTGAAATTATTAATGTAAACAATAAAATAAATACGCGTAATAAGAATATCTATATAAATTCTAAATATGTATATTAATTTCTTATATTATTTTAAACAGAGTAATAATTATTTTCTTATTGCAGGTATTAACAAATTATTCTGAACGTAAATAAATTTAGAAACATCCAAAAAGAAAGCAATAATTAATTTTCACAATGAACATTGACCAATGTTGGGTGTGGGCAAAAATTAAGTCAATTTGTGTGTAAACATAATTAAAAAAATATATAATAAAATAATTTTGACATATTTTTAAAAACAATTAGTGTACAGTATTAAATATATAATAAACTTATTGAAAAGGTCAGTTTTAAATAATTTTGTTAATTTTTTTGTATTTATTTTATTTACATACCTATATGATTCGTGTATAATCAAAAGCGGACATGTACTTTGCCTTGCCAAACAAAAATGTTCCAACTACAATATTAAGTAATAAAGTAGTTACAAGCTTTTTGCTTAGCATGGCAATTGTTTAATAACACATTATTAAAATTGAATTTGAAATGTAATTTGTATGATGTTTAATTTATTAGGGATATTTTAATTTAATTATATACTATTTATGATTAGTAGAGACCGGACTTTAAGGCACTAAAAATTAGAAAAATCCTACCAAAAAGTCACCCCAAAGGAAAAAGAGAATACTAAAAAAGGGTATATTCCAATACAAATAAAAAAAAATATCAATGCATTTTTGATAATTTTGTTGCTTTATTTCCTATTAAAGGAAAAAGATATCGGGGGCATTCTACGTTACTCGGTAATTTTTATTCCGCCCGTCACAATTAAAAATTGTGAGTAAAAAGTTATTAAATTTATTTTAAAATATTGTTTATTATTCTTGTAATAAGCTTATAAGCTCAATACAAATAATATTTTAAAATAATACACACCCTGAATACAAAAAAAATGAACATATATATCTAATATTTAATAATTTTTAATATTTATTAATTTAGCATTGTATTATCAAATTGAATTTTAGTTGTTTTTGAGTTTTGATATAAATATGTGTGAAAAAATACCTTTTTAATAACCAAAAAGTTGATGATGGTTTTATGTTTTGAAATTTCCAAGCTGTCATAAAATACATCTGTTTAAATCAGCTGCATTATATTTTTCATAACAACCTAATGAACACACAACTCAAAAACTACTGTTTTGAAAATAAATTGTAATTTTTTATTTTTAGAATCAAGAGTTATGGCATTAGTGCGTCATTTTCGTGACATTCTGTATATGCACAACCTACACCTAGTTGTTTATCATACCAGTAACTTTGATATTTATATGTACCTATTTCTTACTTATTTATTTTGGTTACAGACTTTTTATGTCGCAATTACCTATCTACTTTACCGCACTAGTGCCTTTTATCGTAAATAGGCTTATATAATTATTTATTTTGCAATTTTTAATTATATCTTAAT